TTTTCATCATGAATTTTGGTAACTTGAGTTTTCTTTCTCTTTCTCTTTGTTAGCTTGGCTAAGGGTTTAACAATTTTATTGATTTTTTTTCAAAGAACCAACTTTTTGTTTTGTCATGTTTTGGGATTGTTTCTTTTGTTTTAATTTCATTGATTTCAGGTCTAATTTTAACTATTTTCTGTTTTCTACTGATTTGGGTGTTGGTTTTTTCTTTTTCAAAGGCTTTAAGATGTAATGCTAGGTTATTTATTGTTGACTTCTATTCTTATAATGAATGAACTCAATGTAATGAACTTTCCTCTTAGCATGGCCTTCATTGTGTCCCAGAGATTTTGATATGTTGTGTTGCTATTCTCATTTATCTCTAGGTATTTTTTTATTTCATTCATTGGTCATTCAATAGCATATTATTTAGTCTTCAGGTATAAGAATAGTTTCTATTTTTAATTTTATTATTGATTTCTAATCTCATTCCTTTATGATCTGATAGGATGCAAGGTATTATCTCTATTTTTTTTTTTTTTTTTGTATTTGGAAAGAGTTGCTTGGTAGGATAATGTATGGTCTAAATTAGAGTAGGATCCATGTGCTGAGAAGAAATTGTATTTAGTCATCGATGATGAAATATTCTATATGTATCTGTTAAGTCTAAATTATTATGTATTTTTTAGTTCTATAACTTCTTTATTTAGATTTTGTTTGGAGGATCTATCCAGTGATGAAAGAGGTTTGTTAAAGTCACCCAGTATTATTGTGCTGTGGTCTGTATGCTTTTAAAATTGAAAAGGGTTTGTTAGATTATGTAGGTGCTCCATTGTTTGGGCATAAATATTTATGATTATTACGTTTTGTTGATTTAAAGCGTATGAAATATCCTTCTTTGTCCCTTCTGATTAACTTTGGCTTGAAGTCTACTTTATTTGAATGAGAATGGAAACCCCTGTTTGTTTAAGAGATCAATGTGAGTGTTATCTTTTTTTCCCATCCTTTCACCTTCAGTATGTGGATGCCTTTGCCTATGAGGTGAGTCTCTTGGAGACAGCACATTGTTGAGTCTTGTTTTTTAATACATTCTGCCAGTCTGTTTCTTTTGATTGATGAGTTTAGGCCATGCATTCAATGTTATTTTTGAGATATGATTTTATTCCTTGTCATTTTGATGTATTTCTGGTTTTTAATTTGAAATATTTTCTCCATTGATTCACTATGTTGTTAGTGTATTTCCTCCCTTGGCTGGTTTTCACTTTTATTTTTCATGTCTTCTTTATGAAATATCTTATTGGGTATGTTTTGTAGTACAGGCTGTCCAATTTTGAATTCTTTTAACTTTTATTTAACATGGAAGGTTTTTCTTTTGTCATCAGTTCTGAAGCTTAATTTTGCTGTCATCCATTTTCTTGGCTGGCATCCATTTTCTTTCAGAGTTTGATATATATTATTCCAAGACCTCCTAGTTTTGAGGGTCTGAGTTGAGAGATCAGCTGAGATCCAGATTGGTTTCCCTCTAAATTTTATCTGTCATTTTTCTCTGGCAGCCTTTAAAATTCTATCCTTATTCTGTATGTTAGGTATACTCATAATAATATCCTTGGTGTGGGTTCTGTTGTAATTTTGTATATTTGGAGTCCTGTAAGCCTCTTCTGTTTGATTTTTCCATTTCATTCTTTAGTTGTGGGAAATTTTCTAATATTATTTCATTGAAAAGGTTGTATATTCCTTTTCTTTATATCTCTGAATCTTCATTTATCCCAATAAATTTTAAATTTGGACTTTTCAGGTTATCTCATACTTCTTAGAAGTTCTGTTTATAGTTTCTTACCATCTTCTCTATCTGGTCAACTTTATTTTTAAGATTATATTTTATCTTCATTGCCTGAAGGTTTGCCTTTCAAGTGGTTTAGCCTGTTGGTGATGCTTTCTATTAAATTTTAACTTGATTTACTGATTCCTTCATTTTGAAGATTTCTGCTTTTTTTCAGAATCTCTATTGCTTTATTGAAATGATCTTTCACTTCCGTATTTTCTCTCTGATTTCACTTCTTATGCCATCCTTTACTTCACAGATCAGTTTAACTATACACATTTTAAAATCCTCTGACATTTATCCCACTGTGGTGTCAAAGAACTCTGTTATTGAACTGTCTTAGTTTGTTTGGAGTGATTTGTTCCCTTGCTTTTTCATGTTGTTTGTGTGTCTATTTAACAGTGTGGATCTGTGGCAGTAGAGTTTCCACCCTGTGTGCTTATAATGTCCCTGAAGGTTTCTAGTACCTCACTGTTTAGGAGGAGACAAGTAATTACAACAACCAATGAAAACAATATGCAGCATTAAACCAAATAATTCCCACTATGAAGTCTATAATGTTAATTATCACAGTAAACAGAAATTATATGATCAGTTATTGCCTACAATAAAAACAGCAAGTTCACAAATGGATTTACAATTTCAAATGGTAAACAGGGAGAGAACAGAAATGATAATAGGACATGATGATTATGAAGGAGGAGGAGAGAAAATAGAAGTAAAAAATTAAAGTAAGAGTGAAGGAGAGAGCAATAGAGATTGACTGTTAACAGAAGAAAAGATAGAAAGAGAATCAAAAGAAACATGTAAGAAAAAAATATTTATATAAAGTAAAAATTTAAAAAAATTAAAAATAAAGGGGCTGAGGTTGTGGCTCAGTAGCAAAGTGCTTGCCTAGCATGTGTGAGGCACTGGGTTCGATCCTCAGCACCACCTAAAAATAAATAAAATAAAGGTATTGTGTTCATCTACAACTAAAAAATAAAAAAAAATAAAGATAAAAGAATACAAAACAAAACTAAAATATACTAATCAAACATCCTAGTCCTCAAAAATCTGATCCATGAAAAGAAAAAAAAAACTGGCTCCAAAATGCTAGAAATGAGAAAAAAAAATATGAGTATGTAAAAATGTCCACATCCCATTAAGGTCATAATTAAATGGAAAAAAGAAAAGAAAAAAGCAAAAAGAAATAGAAAAAGATCTGGATGAAAAGTTAAAGAACTTTTTCCATTTGAGTTCAACAGGTTCTCAGCTTCTCTTGTAAGCAGTTTTAAGTGGGTCATCTGGAATATGATGCTCCACCCTCCAGATTGCTAGAGTAAGAGAAGTAATCCTGTAAACAGAATTCCTGGAGGCAGGTTTAGGCTTAGATAGGCTCAGGGTTCTTTGCTGAATGCCAATTAGTCTGGAGATTTTAAAGCAGCACACCCCTAGGGCCCAGTAATTGCTGATCCACACTGGAAGACTATACCTCAGAGATCTCTCTTGGGTTCCACTTGTGTGGTAGAGGAGCCAATTCTTATTCCCTTATGTCACCTGTGGACCTCACATCCTATTCTTGGGGTTCAGTCTCCAAACTCAATCTCTCCTGCCCCTGCCCTTCCAAATCCCTGGCTAGTCCTGCAAGCAGCCAGATTGGAGGGGGAGGGATATAGCTGGGTGCATTTTCACTGCCAGTTGTACCCTGTGTAAACCTCTCTCCATCTTTGATATTCTCTTGGTCACTTAAGCACACTCTATGTTGTGTAGCATATGTTTATTGGGCTGGTATTTTGGACCAAACTCAGGTTTTCCAGGAATCAACTTCCTCAGCTGCCAGTCCCCTTGCTGTGACTGCAAAATGGTTCATTCCTATGTCCTCCACATACTACCTGGAGAGATGGTGGCTTCTTTCCCACAAAAGGATATTGAGCAGCACACCTTTTAATTTCATACAGCAAGGCAATGTCCTTGATTTCTAAATAATCTGTACCCAGACATACCTCAGGCCTCCTAAAATGGTAGGTTTCATTAATTCCCTTAATTCTCCACTTTGCTTGCATAGGGACTGCTCTGCCTGGTGCTTCTAGCCTGGTTGTGGCAGCGGCTGCATGGCTGAGAATTTCTTCAATATTTTGTTATATCTGACCTCCTGAGTTCCTGATCTGTGTTGAATGTCTAGTTTGAGTTTCAATAAAGCCCCTGCCCCCCCTTTTTTTTTCCATCTACCTTGCTGAGAAGCTGTCTGTTTGCTTTCTTGGTTTCATGCTGCAGAGTAACCAGGAAAGCTACCTCCTCTATCCCAACATTTAGAGTCTTGCCAATTTTTTTATGTTGTTTTTTGGTTTTTGGTACCAGGGAGTGAACTCAGGTACACTTTACCACCGAGTCACATCCCCAGCCCTTTTTATTCTGAGACAGAGTCTCTAGGTTATTTAGGTCCTCACTAAATTGCTGAGGCTGGATTTCAACTTGGGATCTTTCTGCCTCAGCCTCCCAAGCTGCTGGGATTATAGGCATGTGCCATGGTATCTGGCCAAATTTTCTATTTTAAGCACCTTTGCCATGAATATTCCTATGGATACTTTGTTGTGTACTTGTCCAGTTGATTGTCTTTGGGGATTAAAAACTATAAGTATTTTATAATGTGATACATATTTACATATTATCAAAAACCCTACCAAAAAAGCCATATCAAATATACGTCTATTAATAGCATGTATTAGTACTTAGGAAGTTCTTTTTAATGTCTATTTTTTTTTCACCTTATTTCAGACTTGTTTTTCATAATTATAAAATAAGGAAACTGAAATTTATCAGTGGGTTCTTAAACTTTTTAGGGTCCCAGAACCTTCTAGAATTTTTGAGAGCTGTTTGGCCTAGTTTCCAGAAAAGCACACATACCAAAGCACAGCATATTTTTACATACTACTTTTTGGAACTCACAGTTCCTTTAGAGTTAAATTACACCCTTTAATACTTCACTCTATAAACCCAGATCAAGAATCTGTGAAGGAGGTGATTTGAGTTTGGTTGTTTCTTTTTAACACTAACATGCACGCATCTTGAACACACATGGATACACTCATATGCACACAGAATTTAAATATGTATTTGGACAGGATTTGACTTCTGCTTGATATAGAAACTAACCTTATGTTAATTCACCTTAGTACATATAGTTATTGAAATTGAATGTTTCTATCTATTTCAGGTTTTCCAATGGCGAGCTCACCAGGAAGAGTTGGCAAGACTGGAAATTGAAATTTCTTCCAGAAGAAGAGAAAAGGAAGAGGAGAAAGAGAAACTATGGAAGAAGAAGGAATTGTTGAAAAGAAAAGAGAAGAAGAAAAAGGTATAAAATCTTCTATCAGGGCAAAATCTTCTATAAAAGGGAAAATGAATATTTAATTGCCTGATTGAGCTTTAATTAATCTTGATGTTGGAAATGGAATTCTGAAAGACAATTCTGAGAACATTTTAGAGTTTAGTTGAGTTTTGCTTTAGTTTATTTGAGCATCAAAGATTTGTGGGAATGGAAGAGAACCCACTTTGTTGACCTTCATGAGTATAGATACCTGTGATTATAAGAGATGCTGTAGGAAAAAACAAAAAAGATGAAGTTTGTGACTACTGCCAAGTCTTGAATTAAGGAGGTTCATGGCAAAGTTTGCAGGGTGCTTAGGTAGCATTTTGGTTGATGGCTATGTGGCAAAAAATTGTTAAACGGTAGTTGGTGAAATATATTGTATGAGGGACGGTATAATTCATTGAATGCCAAGAATCATTCTTCTTTTGAGTGAACATTTGTTTAGCAATCTTAAAATTACCAAGAAACTTATTAACTTTGAAGGGAAGATATGGAAGATAGATCATATTTTATGTTTGAATTTTTAAATATATATATATATATATATATATATATATATATATATATACACACACATATATATGTGTGTATGTGTGTGTGTATTTGAATGATATATTCATTTAGGTATTTGTGTTTGTTTTCACAACAAAAATTATACTGTTTCAGTGAAGATATTTTTGTTAAAATTTTATCAGATTTGGGGCTGGGATTGTGGCTCATTGGTAGAGTGCTCGCCTAGCACGTGGGAAGCCCTCGGTTCAATTCTCAGTACCACATAAACATAAATCAATAAAATAAAGATATTGTGTCCAGTTACAACCAAAAAATAAATTTAAAAAAATTTTATCAGATTTATTAATCAATTTTATGGGTTTGCTGACTCTGTGGAAATAATGCAGAAAAAGGCAATTAATTTGTGATCAACACAATGAAATCTCTACACCTGTGTGTTTCCACCAATAATAGCACATATCAGTACTCAAAAAGTTCACCTGCATTGATTTTATCTGCATAATGTAAAAAAATGCTTTCTTCTGAAAATCTGATTATAGTGCTAAGAGTAACTAATTAATTCATAGTTACTGGTCGGCAAACTTTCTGTTTTTTTGTTTTGTTTTGTTTTGTTTTTTACACCTTGGGCTATGTGACTAATGAACTCTGTAAAGTCCTTATCTAAATGTTTTTCCTGCAAAGTAGAATATGTGGTAGATAAAAGAACTATGGATTTGGGGGCAATAAGACAGTTTTTCTGCATTTTATACTATAGTTATTATTTTTCTTTATTTTATGCTTTTATATCAGCAAATTGAGTGTAGAAGCAGCATCACGGAAAACCACACATATAAAGGTTATATTGTCATTTGACAAAGTTGCTAAGAAAATGTATTTCACAGTTGTTGTGTTTTTAATTAAAAAGTGAATTCAATTTCCACTACTATGGAATCGAGTGTGGTGATTTTATCAGAGTTGATGTTTAAAAGAAATAATTGTGTGTACCATAGGAACTCATAAAATTGATCATGTTTCAAATAAATGAATTATATATCCTCTGGGGCAACTTACTGATTATTTATTATCATGAAAGCGCAGCGTTATGGTTTAGACACAAATTGTCCCCAAAAGACTTATGTGTTGAAGACTTGGTCCCCAGTGCAACAATGTTCAAAGGTGTGACTTTTGGGAAATGACTGGCTCAAGAAGGCTCTGACCTTGTCAGTGGATTGATTAATCTGTTATAACTGAATAGACTCTTGGAGGGTGGTTGAAACTCTAGGCAAGTGGGGCATGGTGGGAGGAAGTAGGTCACTGGGGCATGTCTTTGGGAACTATGTATTGTCTCTGCCCTCTGTGCTCCCCAGCTTTCCAGCTGCCATGACTTGAGCAGCTTTCTTCTACCATGACCTTCTGCCATGATATTCTGTCTTACTTCAGTCCCAGAGCAATGGAGTTGGCTGACCATGGACTGAAACCTCTGAAACCATTAACCAACATAAACCCTTCTTTCTCTAAGTTGTTTTTCTCAGGTGTTTGTCACAGCAATGAAAAGCTACCTAACATATACAGTATTTTATACTGTATAAATGTGTCCATGTAGTTTTGTCTTCTATCTGGATCCCTCTCTTGGCATTTCCTCTCTATGAATTAGCATGCCACAAATGATGTTTCTAAGCATTAGTGTACATTTAGTTTCATCTTAAATGTCATATAAGGAGATTTAGATACAGTTCCATTCTCTGGGCATTTACAAAGATAAAGAAAATACAAATGTTAACTTCGTATTGAGAATGTGAATAAGGGCATTTAATTGTTAAAAACTAGATTTGAGTTGAATAGTTGTCATGGATACGTAAGAGAGGATGAAGGGACATTGCTAACTATCTTCTCTGCAGTATCTAAATAAGATTGCTGGAAGTAAAAGAAATGCATTTTGAAAGATGAGAGAGAATGTGTGCACACACACATACAACACACACTTGTACTGAATGGAGTAATGGAAGGAATAATAAAACAATTACAATGGCTAAGGTGATGAAAGGGCTAATCCAAGTACACCTTAAAAGAAGAAGGTACTTATACCTGAAAGGATGAAGACTGAAGAGAATTTCAGTATCATTATTCATGTGTGTAGATTAAGCTTAAATATCTACTGCATATTTTAGAATGGAAAATGAACCTATACCTCTGAGCATAAAGAAATGTTGAAAAGTTTTCATACCTAGAATGCATTTTTTAGCCCCTGGTTATATTTTACTAAGGGGTATGCAGGCCATTGCTTTATTGTCTTTCACTTTATAATGAGGGATATTATAAGAAATGTCCTGTTAAAATGTTTTTCTTATTGGTATGGAGTATAGCTATAAGCCAAGTTTGTTTTCAAACCCTTAGAAATTTCATAGGACCAAATCATATGGTTTATTTTATTAACTTTCTTTTTAAAATATTTTTATATTTATAAAATTTTTAAAGTACAGAGACTGACAAAATAAATGCATTAGCATCCTAGCATTGAAAATTTTAATATTTTTCATTTCACTTCAAATATTTTTTAAAAATCTAAATTAAGTTGGATATTTCAGATAAAGCTGAAGTCCTTTTTTTTTTTTAAGTCTTACTTAGTACCATTTCTCTTCTTTATCTCCCCAGAGGTAATCACAATCATTAATTTTATTTCTATCTTTCCAGGCCATATATTGACTTTAATATACTTTGACATAGAGCTTGTGATTTTAAATTTTTCATGAACACTATCATGCCATATCATTCTGCAACATGTACTATTTTTTATCCTTGTTTTGAGATATACCCATATTAATGCATATTCTTAGTTTATTCTTTTAGTTGCTGTTTGGCATTCCACAGTAGCACAGACTACCATTTATCCATTCTCCTTGTGGCTAACATTTAAATTGGCAAAATTTTGGTTTTTAGCTGCTGTGCTATAGCAGCCACCTCTTTCAATTCTATGAGTAACTGTGTTCAGGGCCTTCTCTAAGATAGACCTAAAAGGTAAATTGCTATGTTGTAGGATTTGTATATTTTTAATTTTATAAGTTTTTTGACTTTATAAGCTATTACTACTACGCAGGTGTGGTGGCACAGGCCTGTAATCTCAAGGGTTTTGGAGGCTGAGGCAAAAGGATTGCAGGTTCAAAGCCAGCTTCAGCAAAAGCAAGGCGTTGAGCAACTCTGTGAGACCCTGTCTCTAAATAAAATACAAAATAGCACTGGGGATGTGGCTTAGTGGTCGAGTGCCTCTGAGCTCAATTCATGATACTAAAAAAAAAAAATACAACCTTGATTTTTGAATTCTACCAGTCTGATAAATGTGAAATATACCTTATTAAAATTTTAATTTGTATTTTCATGATTACTTATAAAATTGAAAATCGTTTCATGCTTATTAGTCAGTTTTTTCTCCGTAAATTTCATGTTTTTATTTATTTTCTATATTAATCAATAAAAGTATTTTATAAGTTCTGGATATTAATTTCTTATCAGTTATATGAATTACAGATACTTTCTTCCATTGGTCATCTGCCTTTTAATTTTTTTTTTTATACTAGGGGTGCTTAACCACTGAGCCACAAACCCAGCCCTTTGAGATAGGGTCTCAAAAATAAGTTGCTTAGGGCCTCACTCAGTTGATGAGGCTGGCCTCAATCTTTCAATTCTCCTACTTCAGCTTCCTGAGTCATTGGGATTACTGGCATATGCCACCACACCCAGCTGCCTTTTAATTTTGTTTACAGTGTCATCTATAGTTTTACAGAAGTTTAAGATTATCCCTTTTATGTTTGCCTGTGCTAGAGGCCATATGCCTTTTGCCGACTGGTTCAGGACCAGTTTCTATATTGACTTTTAGGCTTGGGACAGACACTGTGCTGTAAACCACGTGTGAATCCAACAGAACTTGTGCATGACACCAGCTTAGAATTCTGTACTTGACCCCTTTGGTCCTCTGTCCCCTTGTCATTCTCCTGTGGAAGGATCATGATTTAGCTAGTCCCTGTTTTGTATCTGGTTGTGCCTTATATGCCATCTGTTCTTTGCATTTGGCTTGCCTCTGGCTTCTCTCTGTAGAGGTCCCACAATTGTCAAAGGATAGCCACCAGCCATTTAGATCTTTATTAGGTCCTACTTTTCTTTAAGCGTCCTTTGTCTTCAATTCCCTCTCCTTCCTCTGACTTTGAGTTCCATCTTTATTTTTAGTACTGGGGAGTGTGTTGTGTGTGTGTGTGTGTGTGTGTGTGTGTTATGATATATTTTGTCCAGAATTTCTATATATTTGAGGTAGAAAAGGAGATTTCCATGTTAACACAGACATCCTGATGAAAAGAGCTGGCTATCTTTATATACACTAACTACAAACTTAGATTTTTCTTTGTTCGAACACTTTTATATGTTGGAGGAAATTTTGGGTTCTTTAGCATTTAACAGCAGCTTGGCAGATAATCCCAGCAGGAATTCCCTCTAACTTTAGATAT